CCCTATGTCCGCGACATGTAGGCCTTTAATCTAAGTTGGTTTTCTACTAACCTCAATGGAGGCATATTTAATGGAATATGTCAATAGATAACAACAAAAGCCATAGGACACTGTTGTATTAATTTGCATGCTTGTGTCATGTATCTTTCACATGCTTATGTCATAATTTGCATTGCTGTGTCATTGAACATTAACTTGCTTCCATTAACATTCATTAAACCTTACTGTCGCTCTACCTGATATGCTTATACCTTCATTGCCCAATGTGGGCAACTTGTGTCATGTTAGTTTCACATCATTTTGAGTGCTTTGCATTTGTTATTCATACGAGTGTTCATGTTGTTCTTTTTGTTTTAACATGATTGAATACTACCAAGTTGAGAAAAAGGAATTACAATTGCCATCAGAATTCATAAACTTCATTACACCATTAGGTTTACCTTTCATTTCACATCATTTGGCATGCTTGCATGTGTTTTGATACCATGTTCTCATGGTTGTCTTTTTTTTTAATAAATGATTGGAGGCATACAAGTGAGCAAAGGCATATACAATTGCATAGAAAATGAAGTCCAAAAGGAGCATCAGAAACCAATTCGTTGAGCGGCGCCATGTCAAAGTCGCGACGCTGAAAGAAAGCACATATGAGAGTCAGGTGATTCTACAGCCAAATTTCGCCGAGCGGCAATTGAAAGTCGCGAGGCGCAGAGGCGAGAAGTTGAAAATGAGAGTCAGAGAGTTCATAGGCCAAATTCGATGAGCGCGCAATGAATCGCGAACTCAAAAGGGCCGGCCCCCACCGGGCCGTCAGTGTTTTCCAGCGCGCACAGTCTGTACTATTTTGATTTCGATATCTCTCAATTTACAACTCCGATTTGGGTGATTCAAAAACCCATCTGAAAGCTAACACCATAAGAGGAACCAAATACTCTTCTATGACACTTCCTAATTCCATCATTCAATAGGATTCAAATCATTGGTGAAGTTACTGGGTTACTTTTCCAGCCAAAACCCTGTTTCAGCATTGAACTCAATATCTACTTCATTTATTATTTCATCTCATGCTTTTCTCACCATGTTTCGTCTTCTTTATCAACATTCACAAGCAAACATATTTTCCTCATTATCAACCCACATCACACAAATTTCTCATGCAAGGAAATTAATTAAATACAAAGAGATAGCACACCTTCACTCCAAAAAGGCTTGAGCTCTTCTTTTTAGCTTTCCTTCTACTTTAGCTCACCTCCTCTATACATAAGAATTCTTGATGATCATCTAAAATATCACAAATGATTCAACTTATGAAATTCCATTTGCAAGGTTTTACTTACTTGGATAGAATAGAAGTTGAATTGGAATGCGTAACTCCCATTAAAAATCTTCCACTACCATTAAAAGTAGATGGAGAAAGGAGGGTGGAAGAGAAAAGGAGAGGAAGAAGATGAAATAAGGATTAAGAAAAATGAAAATGGAAAATGGAATTCACACGGGTACGGCTCTAGATATCAATGTTTTTATGTGAAAATTACCACAATAGGCTACCTCCATAATGGTGTCAAAATGTACAACTTAAACCTAGCTTTATATTTTAGTGCAAAGTAAGTCCTATCCTTATACTTGATCTTTTTGTTTCCTCTAAGTAAGTCACTTCATTTTCCTGTATTTCAATTACCTCCCATTCTACCCCTGCTGGCGACTCTAATAGCTCGAACCGGGTTTTGGATCAGCCCGACTCGACTCTAAGCACAACTCGATTCAACAGGAAAAATGAGGACTTTACATTTTCTCTCATTTTCTGAGCATTCTAAGCTCAGGAAAGCAATTCTGAGGGCAAATTCATCCAGCAGTAAGGGCAAGGGTTTGTTGGTTCACAGCCAGCAAGGTCCTGATTGGGAGCGGTATAGGTCCACCTTTCCCCCCAGACCGAGCCCCCAATTTCCATTTACCCATTACCCAATTCGGCTATCAGGCAGTTCCTATTGGGCAGACCAATGCCTCGTCATTCTGGCCTCCATTCTAGCCCCAGTTGTTCAATGAGGTTTTGGATGTCAGTGAGATGATGCCATTGGATGGTGCAGTTGGAGTTGGTGAAAGTTGAAGCTGAGTGAGGTAGGTGATAGCACTATAGGTGTGACTGGAAACTTGGATAGGCACCCGAACAGCGCCGGTACCTGATGGGAATAAAAGTAACATTGGATTAGGGCGTACAGTGGTTCATGTATCCAAGGTGTGATTGTGTGGTGATCGACTCTGTCCCAACTGTGCATGACTAAAAACAAAAGAGGTTCTTTGTGTTCTCTTTGTGTGGTCATGAATGTCATGAATGCGACAACAAACATCACGTCATAATCCGTTTATTGATCTATGATTCACATCCATTGGGTGCATATATCCTAAAGGATAGTTCTATAGGCTATGACACAAAATAGAGGAATGGGCCTTATTAAGGGACCCTTGAACTTGAGCTATGGATATACCAAACCACATGTGGAAACAAAGGAGGTTTCGGGGCGTGGGTTCCA